ATGTGTGCTTATGTTAACATATTTATAAACTCAAAGGCAATCTAATATTATCAGTTCTGTTTTAATCAAATTCACTTTAATGAATAGGCAGAATTCCACATACAAACAAACTTGATCAGTTCGTTCATTACATGTTATTGTTTGAGTAAAGTAAAAAGTTTTTTGAATTTTTCCCATTATTTTTATGAGAATTGGAATACAGCCTCAAAATCGTATTGATATTCCAATTCTCTTGAAAATATGGAAAAAATTCAAAAAACTTTTTAACTTGTTGTAAAATGACCCACATTCATGTGTGTTTACACCCTTTCTCCTTGAGTATATCATTTACTCCATACATGGATTGTTTTGGGGTTGATGAATTGTTGATTATAATTATTATTAAGAAATACATGTATGTTTTTTTCTCCAAATTTTTCAGTGTGTAATATTGGACGTTTTTAGGGAAGATTTCTTGAAGGGAATTATCGTTTGTTTATTAATGTTTTCGGGTACATAGAAATATATTGTGTGGAAACTTTACATTTGAAATAAACAAACCTCTCCCGAAAATATCATGTAAAATGGCCTACATTCTGGACAGACTATTAATATATAACCTAATATAAGTTTTAAATGCGCGAATTGTGTGTAAATCGTGAAACTATATCATACAAGTTCGCAAGTAATAAACTATATTCCATACTGATATTAGCCATTTTATGTTATCGCAAGGAGGGCAATGATATGAAGACGTACTTATTCAAATTGTTATTCACACGTCAACCAAATCAACTTTTATTTAGATGAAATTAGTACAATGTCCACCTCTAAACAAGTAAAGATACCAATGCATGACAAAATAATAAGAGAATGATATATTATAGTCTATTTACCTTGAAAAAGTATATATTTTTGCAATTCATGTCCGGATATCTTGAAAGATTTTTTGTGTGTGTTTGTTTTATCAAGTGATTTGATCTCAAATGACTTTGAATATTTCACGTGCATGAGTATTTGTTATTGTTTGTTTATTTAGTAAGTGGGTGAATATTCTCAAGCAGTCAAATGCGATCAATAACAATGTGTTCAGTGGATTTACTATGAATCATTAGGTGAGGGGAGGGAGGCGAGTACTGGCCTCAGAATTGCCAAGGATACATAAAATACTTTCCTAATGTCTAATGATAAAAATATGAAAGTGGCAGGGGGGGGGGAGGGGAGGGGGGAGGGCTAAACCTCTGTTCTGAGGGAGAATGCCCCGCGCCCTTTTAACCCTAAGTAGAAACGCTACTGCTTGTTTTACGATCATTTTTTTCTATAATTTTATGCACAAAATCTCTCAGTAGCTCCTATCAAATTCCCCACAAAATTGAATATAATTCCATAGCCCATGCCTCGAGTAACTGATCCT